CGGCCTTGCGCCTTGCGCGCTTTGCACGCGCCCGTGGCGTCGCACACTCGTTTGGCGGCGCGGGAAGTATGGGGGGAAAACGAATTAAACCAGAAAAAAATAATAATACGCGTTGAGGTCACGCGCTGCCGTAACTGGTTGTCAACGAGTGCCCTGGAGAGGTCAGGTCAGGTCACCGGAGTGACCGGTCCTGCTGACTGCATGGCCCCCGTCCTTAACGGCCCGCAGCAGCAGCAGCAGGTACGTGCGCGGCTGGGAGTCACAGTGCTGCCTCTGCGCGCACGCACGCACGGACGCGAGTCACACGGCCCCTTGCCTCACCCAAAGACTCATCACATCATTTGCACTTTTTTTATATCTCCTCCCCGTCGCGCAGACAGGCGAGGAGGCGGACCCACGCGTGCGCCTGCCGCCTGCCCCGACCCGGGGGCCCGGTCGAACAGGGTCGAAAGGTTGGTGTCTGGGGGCAACTGCGCTGTAAATCTGGGTTGTCCAGCAGCTGTGCAACTTATGTTGCACGACCCTAGAATCGGGTCGCCGTGTTGTGAGGCCCTTGGCTACTGTACCCAAAGAAGTGCAGCAGGTCAAATCAAGGCACAATGAGGGTGTCGCACAGGTTCTCGGGTCTTTTAACTGAAGTTGGAACTTGGCTCACCTGTGCGGGCTGCGGGCTGGCCAGGGGGCGGTAGGTGGTCGCGGGCGGCTCGGCGGTGGTGCTGGACGAGTAGGGCCTGGGCGTGATGCGCACGGCGGGCTGCGGGGTGGTAGCGGTGGCGGTGCTCTGGTAGAGCGCCGTGGTGGGCCTCGGGGTGGTCACGATGAGGCGCGCCCGGGCGGGCGACGGCGTGGGCGCGGCTGTGGGGCGGGTGCGCTGGCGCACCGGGACGGGTGCCGCGGGCAGGTCATCGTCGTCGATGTCCTCCTCTGAATCCTGCTGACGGACGTGCGTGAGACAAATTTCGTAGCCACGGCGACGCTCGTGAAGCTTGTGAATCGTGATGGAGTTACCTGGTTGTAGCTCTGCTGGAACAGGGTGGTGGTGGGCCTGGCGGGCCGGGTGTGCGCGGCCGTGGGGCGCAGCGAGCGGCTGGGGAAGTTGGCGGGGATGTTCTCCTCGCCCGAGTCGTCGACCTCCTTGGGGCCGCCGGGCTGGGGCTCCTCGTCCTGGACGGCGTTGGGGTCGCACGGGTTGCCGGACACGTAGGTGAACTCACGCTTGTTGCCGTCCGGGTCGACGTAGCCGTACTTGCCGCGCACGACGCAGTCGGTGCCGCGGGTCTCCTCCTTGAAGGAGCCGTCGGCGGCCTCGTAGCCGAACGTGAAGGAGCCGTCGTCGTTGACCTTGCTGTAGTTGCGGATGGTCTGCACTGGCGGTGCCTGTTGTCCGGAACATGCGGTTAAAAATGGCAATTTTCACAGGTATCTAATCATTTCTAACAGGCGCGATAAAGTAAATTCACCCCTGCATGGAAAAGACACGCACTAGGGTATATTTATCACAGGTTCCGAAAAATTTCTGCCCCTATGCCTGAGCTTGAATCAAGTGCGGAGGGAAGAGTATCCACCCCCCGAAAATGATGCAATTTCGCCAGTGGCATCTGGTCAGCGACCGCACTCACCTTAGTGTGCTGCTCCTTGCTGGCCTGCGCACGGGAGGAGATAGCGGGCGCGGCGTTGGAGAGCGCCCGGGGGCTGGCGCGGTACACGGGCGCGTCCTCCAGGGCCTGCGCGCGGGTCACGCCGCGCCCGGAGTACACCGAGGGGCTGAGGCCGTTGAGCGCGTCGGCGGCCGGCAGCAGCACGACGCGGCCGGAGCGCGTGTCGGCGCGGTCGTCGGGCGCCGCGTAGTACTGCACCTGCTGGGGCACGCCGTCCTGGTCGACGAGCTCCTCGTCGCCGAGGTCGGCGGCGGGCCGCACCCTCTGGACGCGCACGCGGCGCGCCTCGGTCGCCGCCAGCAGCGCGAGCAGCGCCACGGCCACCTGCGGGAGCACGAGAAACAGACGCCGTGAGGATCGTGTGCGGGAGGGTCACTTTGTTGCGCACCACTTCTGCAGCTGCATCAGAAGCAATCTGTGCCTGAGCCGGGAGTGACGCCGTTTCTTCACCGCGGTACTCCGGCTGTGCCGCCGACGCCGCGCTTGACGCGGACATGAGGAATGCCACAGAGGGGATGGATGCGGGCGGCGGGCGATGCAGTCCATGGGATTGCTTGGACGCCACGGAATGAGAGTTATGCTCCGCGGCCGCGATGACGTCACAGGCGTCATTTTCAACACCGGCCTAGCACGGCTACGGCTGTCTGTGAGGGGCGGGCAAAAGGATTCAGTTTTGTCGGATCGGAATCTCAAACACGATGTGTTCCCCATGGGGGGCACCTCATACCCCTCACCCCCCCTCTTTTCCCGTCCGAAGATTAGGTCGCCCGCGGCGTAAAAACAGTAATTAGCAACAACTCAATGACGCAAAATGTTGCGGGGTAAATGGCGGTGAAAAAAAAAAATGCGCGTGATGCCTATGGCGGTGTGGTGGAGTGCGGTGGTGCAAAGTTTCCCCATGCTATGATTATGAATCGTGGACAGCGCGGGCTGGCTAGCCTGGTCACCCTGCTCCCACGACCGAGGAACGCCTCTCCCGCCGCGCCCCACCCCACCTCGCGCCTCCCACTCCACTACTCTCTTTCTCACACATGGAGGCTGCGGCGCGTCGGATGCTCGCATTGTTTTTGCGCAGGCATGGACGCCGCGTTGTATTCGGCGCCGGCCGTGTCACACCGACCTGGGCGGAGGCCCGCTTGACCCCAATCCCGGTTGGGCGCCGCCGCCTTACCGCAACACCTGACGCGCCCCTCTGGTAGGCGCCGTGCGGGAGGGCCTACCGCCACCGCCCGCCCACCGGGCTGCCTAACGTCAACGTTTAGGTGGGGCCAGGGACGCTGTATGTTCTATGGGATCGACAAATTTTCGATCGCCCATTTTGGGGTCGGTCGGGGTCCAGAGAAGAGGTTGGGAACCGCCGGCCTAACCCCTGGAGCCCGTCCGACCCCGCCCCCCAGCCCGGCTCAGCCCGACTGGAGCACATTATCATAACGCTCTGCTCTCGCACTCGCTCCCATGCGACCAGACTCACAACGCAGCCCGAGATAGCGATCTGCTAACGCAAGGGACTGGTGCTCTTCCGCCTCGCTCGCCGCGGCGTGCCGTGGGCCGGGTTGGTCGGGGACATACCTAAGTAAGTCGTGTCGGACAACGCTGCACTCCACGGTGCGCGGACTACGAAAATTGATAGACAAAACGGGGAGGAAATTATTCCCGTCGCGGAAGGAGGAAAAAACCGACAACATCCCAAGAGGGCTTAGGGAAACGAGGCTTCGGGTAAAGGGTGACGGTGACGGGCGACTGTGACGGTCGGCTGTGGACGTTAATAGCGATGCGCTTGGAGAGGGGAGGAGTCCGCTCTTCGGGGAAATGGCGTGACACTTTGGCTGTGCGCTCGGATTGCAACGAGTCCAGCTGGGAGGGCCAGCATTGCATTATATGATTAGGCCGACTCCTCTTCCACTACTTCCAGCAGGACCTCCCGCCGGCGGTAAGAGAGGCGCGGCAGGAAAGGCATGCGGCGGAACAGACTGGAATGACGAGGACCAAGGGGGCGGGGCTGAAGCGGGGGCGTGCGCAGTACTGGTGCACGCGAGTAGGCAAAGCCGCGGGCGTGCACCAACCGTGTGGCCTCTACATGCACGTTCCACCCTACCGTCCCCAAAACAAATCGAAATCTTGCAACAGTTTCTTTTTTCGTAGCAAATTAATGGTTACTATAGTAATGAATGGTAAATCTTCTAATGAATGGTAACTCTACTAATGAATGGTAAATCTAAAATCTAGTAATGAATAGTACCCCTAGTAACGAATGGTAACGCTGGTAATGAATGGTACCTCTGGTAATGAAATGCGCCGCCAGTGCCAGTGCAGGTGGACATGATCGGGTGTTCGCGAGCAGGCGGCGGTGAAAGCCGTCCGTCCCTCCCCTGACCCGCGAGAGGCGAAGCAAGCCCGCCCGCGTGTCATGACACAAAGAGAGTGGTCGTGATAAGGCTTTAGATATGCGGTCGCGCAGGTTTCTTTTCCGCCGGATGCCGGGCAGCAGGGCGAGCTCGCCCCTGGGTGGTGGTTGTTACCCCGGGCTCCGCGTCGTCACACCTATCTATCACACGTTGTGTGTCCAGTCAATGGCGGCGCGATGAGGCAAGCGAGTGAAATCCAGCCGGGCCCATCCCATCGCGGGCCCACGTTGGCGAGTGGACAATGCGCTGGCCGGGGGAGAGCCGAGCGAGCGGTCGAGCCGAGGCAGTATATAGAGGTGCAATACGCCTGACGCTCCACCAGCAAATCACCCGTCCACCTCTCCTGCCCCTGCCCCCGACCTCTCCTACCCCTGCACGCCCCCGCGCCGCACGCGGCCGAGCGCCGGGTGGTGGCGAGTGCGTGCATAGGCGTGTCCGTTCGCACCGCGAGGAAGGGGACGAGCTTCTCCTCGAGGGACGAGGGGAGCACCTGCGTGTGACCGGCGTGGCGCACCCGGACCCTCGCGAGCCACAGCAGGTTGCATGCGCTTTGAGCGTCGCTTTTGTCCTTTTGAACTTTCTCCGTTAACAAGGACCGCGACTGTGTCGCGATGCTCAACTGGGCTTTTGTCTCATTTTACTGCGCCCGCCCGTCCGCCTGCGGTGGAGTCACAGAGGGGCTTGCCCCCCTCCCCCCTCTCCATTCGAGTACGTGCCGCGACTGTAGCGGGACGACGGCGCGACTGACGTTGGGATGCAAAACGGGTAGACCTGCCCTGCCTCCAGGGCTTCGCCTCCCCACTCACTCTCGCTCTCAAATAACCAGACAAGCAGCCACGCGCTGTCTGGCCCCGAACTTTTCATTTCGTTGCTTCGCGAAACGGGGGCGTGGCGTGGCTTGGCGGCGCGTGAGGAGAAGGAGGAGGCTCTTCGCTGCAGTGATCACCCCATGACGTGGACGTGCTGCAGCACTCGCCCTGCTCCGGAGCACCCTTCTCCCCCAAACCCCCCTTCACCAATCTAGTTGGACTGGGATTGATTGCATAACTCGTAAAATGGGCGTGGTTCGGCCGGGCCCGGCCAGGCTGACCGGCACTCTATCTCGTATTTACGAGCGATAAATAAAAACGGTCCACAGCAGCAGCGGCGGCGACGCGGCCTGCACTCGTTTTGCTGCCCGCGCCCAACGCTGCGCTACCGCATCCCCTGTTTCTATTTCATTTTCCCCCCACTTTTGTCCCTTGGCCTCCTCTTCTGGTCCGTCGGCTGGCGGACGCAGTTCTGCGCATCCTCCTCCGCATCTCGACCGTTTTTCCTGTCCGTGCTCTCACGAAACTACGCGCGCGCGGGGCGGAGCGCGGGCTGGGCGCGCGGGGGACGCGCGGGTCTCACGCTCGGCAGGCGGGCTGCAGGGCTGGGTGCCTCCGTGCACTTCCGTATTCACGCTTGCACCCCCTCTCCTCCCCCTCTCCCGATGGCGCGTGCTGCACCCCGTCCCCCGCCTCCTCTATTACGGCGTCCTCTAACTTCCTGAACACGAGGTCGCTGCCAAATGAAGCGGTATGTATGTGCCCCTAACACCCCTCCCTCCTTCGCTCCCCCACCCTGTTGACACGTTTTTGTCGCCGGTGCACGGCTGGCTGGCTGGCCTCCTGGCCGGCTCTGGCTGCGATGATGCGGAGGCCTTTACCTCGCAGAAGTGTCCATTGTTCGAGGGGTTCATAGAGATAAGAGAGATGCAGGGGACCCCGCCGCGACTGTTTCCGGAGTCACGGGGACGCGCGTCGTCGCCTTGGGGAAAATAAAAAGGTAGCGAGACCCAGGACGCGGTGCAGCACAGTTCGGCGTCAACGCCGCGGTTCAGACCTCTTCTTCTTGCTATCATTGATTGACTGACCCTTCAGCGAGGCGCGAGGCTTGTATGACGGATGGTATGGTCACTCCGCGGCCGATGCGACGGGCCGCGCGCGAGCCTCCGGACCGAGTTATTAATGAAGTGCTGCCAATGCCGGCCGCGCCCCGGGGCGCCCCACCACGCACCGGCGTCGTGCGTCGTGGCTCCACGCCGTCTAGGCGTACCGGAGGTCCGGCTCTGATTGGGCAGGTCCGGCTGGACATGTCGTGTGGGGCCCAGTCAGTGGTGCTGCTGCTGGCGTCCCATGGAGCCGCTCCGTAGTCCGGCTATCCGCCCGGCCCGCCCAGGCCGTCGTGGAGGTCGTACGTGCCAATAATGTCGCTCAAGGCGGGGCCGGTCACGAGCGGTACGGCGGCAGCGGCGGCGGGCTGAGAGCGTAAAGCGCCGCTGGAAATTATTTTTATTTTAGGGTTATGTGCCGCG